GAGGAAGGGGATGGATTTCTATTGGGGGCCTGAGATGAGACAGAAGTTATGTGAGGCCCCGATGTTGACCCTTCTGGAGGGTGTGGAGGCTTTTGTCATATATTGTGATGCATCCATCACTGGTTTAGGGGCGGTAGTCATGCAGCGATGGATAGTTATTGTGTATGCTTCTAGGCGGCGAAAGTCGCATGAGGTTCGATATCTGACGCATTACCTACAGTTAGGGGGGTCGTGTTTGTCCTCAAGATTTGGTGGAATTATCTATATGGGTCCGGTGTACCATCTACACAGATCACAAGAGTTTGAGATATCTTATGGATCATCTGAATTTAAATATGATACAACATAGATGGCTTGACGTGGTCAAGGATTATGATTGTGAGATTCTTTATCACCCGGAAAAGGCGAATGGGGTAGCTGATGCTTTGAGCCGCAAGTCGGCTAGTTCTTCTATGGAGAGCTTATGTATGAGGATTTCTATCGATTCACCACTTTTGGACTTGATCAGGGAGGCTCGGGCCGAGGGATTCAAGAAGGAAAATTGGAAATAGTAGAGAATCATAGGAGAGATTCATAGTTTTTATACTGATAGTCGTGGATTGTTGACCCGATGCGATCAGGTTTGGTAACAGATTTTGATGGGATCAGACAAAATATGTTGGAGGAGCCACATAAGTCTAAATTTCCGATACACCCTGGAGCCACAAAGATGTATCGAGACCAGAGACTTAGTTACTGGTGTCCGCGCATGAAGAAGGAGATAACCTAGTATGTTGAGAGGTGCTTGACAAGTTGGAAGGTCAAGGCCAAGAACTAGAGTGTCTTTGAGCTTGAGAGTACATTTTTGGTGTTCTTGAAGGAAGAATAAGGAAGTGAATCATCTTGGAGGCTCAAGGCATCTTGGATCCAGAAGTGGTTCACCCTCAAGTATCCTTTAGAGGTATAAAGTTTGAAACTTGATGAGTTATTTGCTTAGATCTTGTTTGCCTTGAGTTTGTGTTCATTTTTGGTCCCATAAGCTTGGTATTCATGAGTATGGATTACTCTAACCAAAATAGTTGTCCTTTCAAATGTTTCTAGGTGTTCGGAATCATAAAAATGTGATATTGGTTCTTCTATCCCTTCCATGCAAGAGTTGTGATGTCTTAATGGAATATTAAGTTAGGGTTTTAGCTTTTGGACATTTTCTAGCCTTGGAAAGTCATAATAGTGGAAACTTTATGACTTAAGATGATGGTTTGGCTCTTAATCTGAATTTTGATGAAAGGTCTTTAAGAAATAAGAACGTAATGATAAAGATTTGGTCCAGGCGGAGTACATTGGGTGTACGAAGTGGTACGTTATGCGTACTGGGTTGAAGCACCGATATTTTCTTAGGTCGCAACTACGTCCTACGTAGTAACTGAGTACGTGGGGCATACTCAGCTAGCTTGACTTTCCTTGACTTTTTGACTTTCTAGCTTTGACCTTTGACCTAAGGTTTAACATAGGGGCATTTTCGCTATTTTAAGTTGTAGTTTGAGCTTAGGTCACTATTCGTTGTATAGGTGACCTGTAGAGTTGGCATTTGGAGCAACATTCTTTTCTGCTATCTTTTCAGACTGTGAGTTGAGTTTTCCTTATTGTACTTGTTGGTCGAAGGCATCAATGTCGGCCCGATAGATTATGTATCCTGGTTTATGAGGTTGTTATGCTGTAGTAATCTGATGAGATCTACATGTTTATCTATTTTTTGTTATATATTTATCTGTTTTATATGTCGACATAGTGCGGTTTGGGTTGAGGGTGCACTACTTTGTGTTGTCAGTCAACAAACACAGTGGCAATCCAATCGGGAGATTGTGGGCTAGAGTGGCAATCTGATCGGGAGATTATGGGCTAGAGTGGCAATCCAACCGCGAGGTTGTGGACCAGGGTAATCTAGTCGGGAGACTGTGGACCCAGCATGTATTTTGTATATTTGTTTGGTTGTGTGTGGTATTTGGGGGAACTCACTAAGCTTTGGCTTACAATTTAAGTTTTATGTTTCAGGTACTTTAGATGATCGGGTCAAGGTGAAGGCTTGATCATGCACATCCTTCAGTTTTTATGAGAATTGATTTTGGGATACTCTGATTTGCAATTTTGGCTTTTGGAAACTAAGCTTTGTAAACATTTATGGTTTTTGGTTTGGTTTTAAAAAATGAAAATTTTACATTGATTTTTGGGATGTTACACTTTTCATACTTAGCAATGCTTGTACTTTGTCCGAATTGGCTTCAATTTCTTAGTTTGATACAATATGCCCCGTGAATTTCCCTTTTTGTTCCCCGAATACACATTTCTTTGGGTTAAGTTCATGTTCGTCTCTTTCAAACGAACCATCGTTTCATCCACGTCTTTAAAGAACTCGTGGTCTTCTTTACTTGTTATGACCATGTCATCCACATAAACTTTGATATTCCTTCCTATCTAAATCTCAAAGAGTCAATCAACTAGCCTTTTATAGGTTTCCCCAGCATTCCTTAGCCCAAAGGGGATTTTCTTGTAACAAAATGTCCCTCGCTCTATATGAAAAGTTGTATTATCCTCATCTTCTTTAGCCATTTGCACCTGGTGATATCCGTTATAGGCATCCAAAAATGATTTCCACTTATAGCCTCCCAATGATTCTATATTTTGTTCAATTTCTGAAAAAAGGTAACTATCCTTTGGGCATGTTTTATTTAAATTCGTGAAGTCAACGTACATCTTCATCGTCCTATCACCCTTCTATACTAAAACTGAATTGGTGATCCGGGTTGGGAATTGGGCCGCTCGCACCACCCCGGCGTGGACCAGATCCGCCACTTCCTTGTTAACTATCTCATTTCAATCTCTTGACATTGCTCTTTTCTTTTGCTTGGCAAGTGAGAAGTTGGGATTGATGTTCAATCGATGTTCGATTATTGACCTTGGGATTCCGGTCATATGTTTGGGCCTCCATGCAAACACATCTGTGTATTTGCCTAATAGCTTTTCTAGCCATTTCTTTAAGTGGTGATGCAAACTTGATATGATTCTTATTTTTTGGTCTTTTTTATTAGGATTAACCACAACCTCCTCTTCTTCCACTGAAGATCTTGCTTTTTTGCCTTTTATAGGAGTTCTGTTGCATGGCTCTGCACATGAGGTCTTATGGGTATGTGTCTTATGGTAATAATATCGTGCTCTAAGGGAAAATTCAGTAAGCCATGAACGGTTGATGGGACCGCCTACAATAACAACAACAATAAATCCATTCATTCCATTCCATCAAAAGATGATCAGAGTATAAAATGTATTCTCAATAAACATCAAAGTAAAAATATAAAATAGATAGTGTTGGATTTGTGGTGGATGCGATGCAATCAGGTTGCGTTCTTCCCTTTGCTTCATGAAACAATTTAAACTTAAAATAGTAAGTACAAAGTTTAATAAGTCCCCCAAGATACCATATACATCCATATAGTGGGCCCACCTTAAGTAATGGGCCTCGTACTGAGTAATGGGCCCTATCATGCATATCTATTAGAACTAGGGGTGTGCATCAAACCGTATAAACCGCTCGCACCGCACCACATCGCACCGTATAATGCGGTTTTGGATGCTCGTGGTGCGGTTTGCGGTTTGTAGTTTTCATAAACCGCACTATGCGGTGCGGTTTGCGGTTTATAGTTACCAAACCGCGGTTCAAACCGCACTGCAACATACCATATATAGTTACCAAACCACACAACACGCTAGATGTTTACCACTTTTAATACCCTTAATAATGTTTATGAGATTTTGATTGATAAACATGAGTCAAAATGGGAAACCAACTATATCAAAAATATGTGTTTACAGTACCATAAGTCCATATTATAATTTTGAAATATTGTAAAATATTTTGATGTTATGCATAAAGAAGATGCTTATACAGGTAATTAATCTTTTATTCATAGAATATAAAGCACCACACACTTATTATGTTTAAAACTAAATTTAATATTTGTGTTTAGGAAACCACAAAAACCGCAAAACCGCCCGCACAAAACCGCACCGCATAACGCGGTTTATTACCTTTGCAGTGCGGTCTACGATTCCCGAAAATAACAAACCGCATATGCGGTGCGGTTTGCAGTTTTGAGAATAAACCGCACCGCGAACACCCCTAATGAGCACCTTTTCTTTGGAAATGGGGATGACAAAACTCCAAAAGTAGCTACTTCTATTTTTAAAAACAAAACATACTTTTACAAAATAGCTTTTTAAAGTACCAAAATTAGTTCCAAAACCTTGAAAATTGCCTTTATTTTAGCATTGAAACCATTTTTTGGTTTTGGCTTTAGTATCTCGTAAATATCTATCGCTTGTATTGTCCTTCACTTTTTCGCTTAAGGAAACACAATATATAAATGATAATGTCAGCCAAAATTTGACTAAACGCAAAAAAGAAAGATAGCCACATACTTACATTTAGTGTGTGTTGTGTTTAGCATCCTACTTTTATTTTTTTTTTATTACTTTCAGTTTTTTGGTGGCTTAATTTAATTGAAAGAAATAGCAACATTCTCCTATTCATTACAAGAGATAACTACCCAATTTTAGCAATAGCATTCAAATACAAAGCAAACTAAAATGATTTTTCAAATTATAATGTTTTGATAACAAGAAAAACGAAAGTATAATGGCATAATTAGGTGAAGTTTTGTCATTATAATTTCTTGATAGGAAAAAAAAGTACAAAGTTGTAATAGAAAGAAATTGAAGTCGGATGCCATAAGACACAGACAAATAAAAGTAAATTGTTATTTGTTGCATTTAACGTTTTTCTAGTTAAAACATTATACTTGAAAAACTCTCCCATTTATAACATTGTACTTTCAATTTTTTAACAGAGAAAATTGTTTTGTATTTGGATGTCATTGTTAAACTTACATAGAGTTTTCAATATACAATATTGTTATAGAAAGAAATTCTCGTATGTATTTATAATGATAAAAAAAACAATGAAAACACGTTGCAATATCTTTCACTTAACACGAACGACAACGATAATATATAAACATGTAAGAACCAATACATATATTCATACAAGTACAACCAACCGATCTCATCAACGTTCATTTTATTACACAAACAACGATAATTTAGTACACTTTATATCCGATCAAAATCAGTCAAATTAAGGTCTTCTTCCACCAAAATCAAAATGTAACGTGTTCATTACAAGTAAACGTTTCTAAGCCTGACCGAGGCTTCCAATATGTTCTCTCTCTGCCCGAATGCAGTAACCCTTATATATCCTTCACCCCCGGGCCCAAACCCGCTGCCCGGAACCGTAATTATATGTGTTTTGTTGAGAATCTCAGAGAACATGTCCCATGATCTTGATCCAGGGAAATGCACCCATACATATGGTGCATTTACACCACCATATACCACTAGCCCTAATGATGTAAATGTCTCCACCAATATTTTTGCATTTTCCTTGTAGTAATCCACCACTGACATCACTGCCTGTAATTCGTAAGTTTCACAAATACGCCATTTTAGTGATCGGATTTTTTTTTCTTACAATTTTGGTCCTTGTTTTAGGTTTTTGTAACGTCTTTGTTCCGAGTAAAATGACTGGTTTTTGTGTTTGTGTTATGTATAGGTGGGTTTTTTTTTTTCAAATTTGGTCTTGAAAATATAGTTATTTTATGGAAATTGTTAGAAAAGTCCTAATATTTTTAGGAAAGTTACATTTTTTTTTTTGAACATAAAAGTCCTGATTATTTGTGGAAACATGATGATATGTGGTTTTTTGGTAAAAGAAAAAACGGGAGTTTTTTGTGAACTTGAGCCGAAATGAAAAAATCGGGACTTTTATGTTCGAAAAAAAATGTTGGGACTAAAGTGTAACTTTCCTGAAAATATTGGGTCTTTTTTGACAATTTCCCGTTATTTTACTTGGAGACGTGATTGAAAACGTTACAAAATAAATGAGATTACATTCATAAAAAGTTAGGACTTAAATACTTAATGACTAAGCCTTTTGGGTTAATCTCAAAAAATAAAAAAAACTTATATTTTGAGTTTTTTCCAAATTAAACCTCAATTTTATTTTTTTGCCAAAAAAGACATTGTATTTTTTATTTTTTCCAAAAAAGCCTTCAACTTTGTGTTTTTTTCTGAACAAAAAAACCTTCAACCTTCTAAATGATTCCAAATAAACCCTCAACTTTTTTAGTTTTTCTCAAAAAAACCTTCACATTTCACAATTTTTTTTGGCAAAAAACAACAAATCGGGAAAAACAAAAAATACAAGGCAAAAAATAAACTTGAGTTTTAATCCGGAAAAAACACAAAATACAAGGTCTTTTTTGAGATCAACCCAAAAGCCTTTTTCCAAGACTTTCTCTATTAAGTCGTTCTTTTTGCAGTTAGAAAAGACTTTTTTATCAAAAAGGTTAGGAATTCATGGGAAAGCCTTATTTCTCTTTGAAAAAGAAACGATATACATTAGATTCTTATAAAAGATTTAGTGATGTGTATAAGAAAGAAGGAAAAAGACCTTAAAGCCCTCAGGAGAAAGACATGCGAGTCCACCAGCTTGAGCAATGCTTGAAGCACCATTAAAGCAAGTGCAAACAATTCGATCAAAGTCATGTATCACAGGAACTTTATTTGCATAATACAGCTCATCAGGAACAACTGTCCAACCAAGGCGTACACCTGTGAATCCAGCAATCTTTGAGAAAGATGAGATTTCAATAGCACACTGCACATGTCCACGTCATCACACAAACATCAGCTTCATCAAAAACTTCAATCTCATTTCTCATAACCACTTCTTTCTACATTAACTCAAGGAAACATCCATACATAAGGAGGACCAAAACTGCACAAGATAACTTTGTGGGACGAAATTTGAAAAAACCAGCTATACTTGGGGACCAAAAATGTAATTTACTCGATATATATAAATTACATAGGTTATTTTAATAGGAAAAAGTGATTGAAAACGTTACAAAAAACCTCAAATAAGGACCAAACGTGCACAAGATAAACTTTCTGGGACGAAATTTGAAAAAACCAGCTATACTCAGGGACCAAAAATGTAATTTACTCCATATATATATATATATATATATATATATATATATATATATATATATATATATATATATATATATATATATATATATATATATTACATAGTAAAACCTTACAAAAACCTCATTTCCCCAAACTCTCTATTAGGCATTTCTTTCTGTATTAAGTCAGAAAGAAACATGACGTTTGAAAACTATTTGAGAAAATCACTTGTAAAGGAATGAGGGCAAAATTTGTACAATATTAGGATTTAATATAAGTTATAATATAACAAGATTCAATTATATTGAAGCATAAAATAAAAAGATTGAAATTAGTATACCTCTCTTGATCCAGGGATTTCATAGATGGATTTAGGGCTTCCATCAGTTATATAAACAGAATATGCAGAATCATAAACAATAATCGATCCATTCTTTCTAGCAAATTCCACAAGCTGTGTTAACTGTTCATGAGAGGCTGCATGACCAGTTGGATTATTTGGAGAGCAGAAAAAGATAATATCTGTTCTTGATGTGGTTGAAAGGTCAGGGAAGAAGTTATTGTGGGGCCCACAAGTCATGTACTCAATGTTTTTGTATTTTAGTGTTTCATCTAAAAACTCTCCTGCTTGACCTATTATAACACTTGAATCCATGTATGCCTGTTGAGAATTAACATCTCATGAGAATTGCAACAATTATGTAATCCATGTTTTTTCGTATTTTAGTTTTTAAAAAAGAGCAAATTACACGAATAGTCCCTATGGTTTGGGGTAATTTGCGAGTTTGGTCTCTAACTTATTTTTTTTTAACTCGGAAAGTCCTTACTGTTTGTTTTTGTTACGCACTTGGTTGGTCCCTACTGTTTGTTTTTATTACGCGCTTGGTCCCTATCTTACCTAAAAAGACTATTATTTAAATAGGGAAAAATGGTGGGGTATCTAAGGTAAGGTGAGGGGGGTGGAGGTGGGGGGGTGTTTATTTAAATAAATTAAAAAATCAAAGGCAAAATAGTCTTTTTAGGTAAGACAAGGACCAAGCACGTAACAAAAACAAACTATAGGGACCTTCTGAGTTAAAAAAAAATAAGTTAGGGACCAAACACGCAAATTACCCTAAACCATAAGGACCATTCGTGTAATTTACTCTTATGTTTTTCCAGATTACATGGTTTCGAAAAGGGGGAAATATAGAAAAGTGTAACATGTTTTCATCTTTTTATCGATTTAGCCAATGAATTGTTGTGTTTTATGATTACGTTGTGTTTTTCTGTAATTTTCTTTTAAAAATGGAAAAAGATTCCTCTAAAATGTTTTTTTTTTTTTTTTTTAAATTTAAATAGCAAGAACGTTAAAACGATACCGGGAAATTTGGATCCTGTACAGCAACTGAAACACTTGATCCCAGAAGCAGCTACATGTTAAAAAATTAAAGAAAGCATCAATTTTTTTGATCCAAAAATAAATAAATGTTTTAATATAATGTTTTTAAGAAATAATGGGAATAAAAAAAGAACCTGAAGGCGAGATATGTCACACTGTGACCCATCTGAGACAAAAACTTCTGTATCTTTTACACCTAAATCTTTGTAAAAGGACTCTGCAATTGCCTTCCTTAAAGCCTGTAAATTTAAAATAATATATGTATTGGCTGTTTTATTATTTCTTTTAAAAGGATTTTTGTTTTTTTTTTGAGAAATAAATGTACCTTGTGCCCTTGTTCAGCACCATAACCTTTGTATCCTTTGCGTGTTGAAAGAGCCTTTGCGTACTTTAATACAAACAATATCACTTTTTATATATTAATCAAATGAGGAATATTGTGCACCTATTATAGCATCATACTTTTATTTTATCTTTTTCTTATTAAGACATTATATTTTTCCATAATAGGAAGAAACAAAAGTACGTTGCTATTTCTTACGTTTAACCCAACAAATTACAAAACATTATGAAACTTAAAAGCTTTCAAGAAACAAAGAGGTTGCAACTTTCATGGAAATTTGAGTTGAATATGAAACAGCTACCCGATTTATATCACCACTAAAAAACATCAATAAAAAGAATAAAAAGAAAAATGAATGATTTTATGATACCTCAGCCATGTTTGAAGTTATAATATCAGGAATGGGCTCAGTGGTATCACCAATTCCAAGCCTTATGATGTTAGCATCAGGATACTTCTTCATATGTTCAAGTGCCCTTGCTTCTATCTACAATTTACAATAACATACAACTTTAGTTAAAACTTAATATATATATACAATATATGTATTATGTTACACATAATCAAAGCTTAAAAATGCTGTAAATTAAGATCAAGATCAAGAAACCTCAGGAAACAAATAGTTGTGGCGCAACTTCTCCAAGTTCACATTTCGAACAACTTTAGTACAATGAACAGTTGCTGCACATGTAACATTCGCACAAATTATAAATTATCAATGGATTTTTTTTAGTAAAGAGTTGAAAAAGAAACAAAGTTTGTATGATGTATGCATACCTAGACTCTGATTTGGTGTTTTCAAACTGCAAAAAGACCAAAGAAACATAATGTCAGGAAATTTTGTGAATATTTTACTCAATTTAGCATGTGGGTATAGAAAAATATCGAATCTTTACTCAAATTTGTATGTGGGCATTCAAAAAATATGAATCTTTATTCGATTTAGCATGTGGGTATACAAAAAGAACGGATTTTTACTCAATTTAGCATGTGGGCATACAAAAAGATCGAATCTTTACTCAAATCTGTATGTGGGCATTCAAAAAATATGAATCTTTATTCAATTTAGTGTGATGGTATAAAAAAAGAATGAATCTTTACCTGGCTTTAGGTTGCAACAAGATTGCATGAGGCACAAACTTGCAAGATGAAAAGATAGACATGGTGCTATCAAGATTTCTTGATCTTTATGACACTTTGTTTAATGTGTGGATGGTGAGATGAGTGGTGTAATTTTGCATGTTTTGATGTCTTTATATACACATTGATGGTGTAGACTCATAGTAGAAAACGGTATTCGTATTGTATGATAAGAAGGTGATACATGGAATTTTTATAAAAAAGTATAAATAAGTAAAATAGTCAATCTTGGATGCGAACACGTGTATAACTAACAATTTCACACAACGGTTGGACCATGTTATTTATGTCTTCATCAAATTTCAAACTCAAGGGTTTTTCTGTTTTCATGGTTTCTTGATGTCACTATTTGACCTTTTGGTATTTCCAATTTGTAATTCATTGAATACATGCATAATTCTACTACAAAAATACCACCTTTCTGCTCAAAGATTCTCATTCCAAAAGGAAGTTTCATTCATTCAAGGCAAGTGTAAGGGCAATTTCATCCATTCGGGAGAAGTCTAAGGGCATATTAAGCAGCAACCTAGCAGCATACTGGATTCCACATGGTGAAGAAAAATCTTCATGTTGGAAATTTGTTGGTAGTTTCCCAATTTTGGGCATGTTTTGTTACATATTAAGCAGTACACCTGCCTCATTTTGAATATAGAATTCTACAGGATTATGAAACATCTCTTCGTTGAAAAGTCAAGGGTAGTTTTGTCCATTCACAATTTTCTTGCATAAAATCCACACTACAAGTGCTATATTTCTAGATAACTTTTAGTATAATCTCACCTGATTTCCATTGTAATTACTCAAGTTACTTACATGTGCATGATATCTTAATATCTATTTGAAAGAATAATGTTAAATTCATCCAAGATCATATCGATATCTTAATATCTATTTGATTACTTCCACATCCATCAATCAAAATCGATAATATAAAACCTCATGTAAACTTATGCTCCTAAAAAGCAATAACATTTAGTCAAAGAAATGTCCTTTACAATATCATTATCAAATAGGAAAAAAAAAAAAAAAAGATGCAATGCATAAATAATTTCTGACACCTACAATCATAACTTCATTTCTTTAGACATCATATAAATAAAATGAAAATGTTAAATGGCAAAAACAAGGACTTTAATAATCAAGGAGACAGAGGAGAGACAACATACCAGCTTTAGAAGAAAAAAGATTAATCATCAAACATTAAAAATCAACCAAAACTAAAAGACTCCTTTGACCCTTGAACAGAAACATTAAAATTCATGAAAAAAAAGGTAAATTTCTATCAATGATTCAATTCAAGTCTAAATACATGAATAAAGTTGTCAAATTGGTTGAAAACATGTTGCACATAGAAAATTTCCAGAAATATTCTGAATGTTTCAATGCAAAAACACTGAAATTCATGAGAAATTTCTACAATTTGATATCAATAAAACATTTTATTGACTTTATGTTGGAGCCTAAGGTAACACTAATTTACAATATTACTGATAATAAATACTCCAAATTCTGCAAATAATTATAAAAAAGGTAAAAGTTGGCATGCAGATAGTCCAAAAATGTAAGTCAAAGCAAACCCACATCATATCTGATGGCATGCATGACACAATCTCAACTAGATCTTTAAAGAACTTGTAAAGACCTAATACTAATTACTTATTCAATATTCAAGATTAGGTCAAAAAGCAAATTGTTAAAAACAAAAGTCACCTAACAATTGGAGTTTAATGTAAAAGTCTGATAAAAGATTTGTAGTCCATTAGATTGACTTATCCTTTGTACGATTTACTATATAAAAAAGTAGATTAACAAAACTAATTTTGATTAAAGTCAACCAAGAAAATGTCTATCAAGTTTCATGGAAATTGTATTGTTTAGATTTTAATATCACAAACCAGTCAAATCCCTACTCACAACCAAGAATAAATCCAGATTTCAACCCCACATTCACATGCAAGAGTCAAGTCAAGAAGATAACTCCATATTCATGAGTCAAACTAAACACATAAACATATATAAATAGATATAATTTAATAGAGTTTGTGTTTTAAGAACGACAATGGCGATCGGGTGATATGTCGCGCATGGTGTACAGAGCAATAATATATACATGCTATTTTTGGATGGATTGTAGTATAAAAATACGAAAGACAGGCTAATTTGGGAATTAATGCGAGTCAAAGAAAAACTATATTTCATCGGCTATCAGAAACTGAAGATTCGAAACCCTAACAACCCCTTTTAGGTATTATTAATTAACTGCAAAGTCGACGTATTTTGCATAATGTCAGTGAAGAAGTAATGAATTTATAATTTGAAATTTCAAGCCCTAAGGTCAACCCAGGTGGCGATAACAATTGGGGGTCAATTGTCGCATAGAGAATCTCAAAGAAACGTGAAGTTCTACACTTCTAATTGCTAGTAGAAGAAGACCCACCAACAGAAATTGATCGCGACGCATTGTAATCAGAGATTGTCTGCATTTGGCTTACTAGAAGCTCCTCGATTATGTGTTTCCTATCGGTTTCCTTTCTTCCCCATTTCCACGAGTTTGTAGCTAATCAGAATGCTGAATAGCCTGGAATTTATGGAAAAGGTTAAAAAAGTTATCTTTTAAAAGTTCTTTTCTTGTAAGAAAACTTGCCTTTGTCGACAAAATTACTATCCATTGTCTTCGAAAAAGAAATTTTTTAAAAATACATGTTTTGCTTTTTTATATTGCTTAAAATTTACCTTAATTCAATTTATTTTACATGATTATATATTATACGGGTTAATTAAATCAATGTTAAATGTTAATAAATAAACATTAAATATTTTGTAAAATAAAATTTCGAAATAAATAAGCATATTCAACTAATAAACTAACAAATCAAAAGAATCAATAATAAAAAAGATCATCAAGAATATCAATAATTTTTTTGTTATCATTTAAACCAACAATCTTTCATTTTCCATGTTGTTTCTTTAATATTAGATGTTCGAATATTTGATCGGATGTAAGAAGAAGTTAATGAAGCATAATGCATTGTCTACTTCCATTCAAAACTTGTGTACCGGTTCATTTTAAAAAATAAATATTAAAAATATGATTAAACATTAACAAATTTTAAAAGGGTATATTTCAATTGAATTTAACTGAAATAATGAATTATTAAGTATTTTTAATAAAAAGAAATTGTTAAAATGTTAACCATAGTTTGTAATAACTTCAACCAAATCACTCTATTTTTCCAATAACTAGTTAATGGTTAGAAGTTAATATCATCAAGTTATAAGAATTCGTCGACACCCTAATTAAAATTCGAGATCTCCAACCTAAGACGTCAAGCCTCTACTAACTAAGCTAATAGCTAGTCCCACATTGATAACCAAATTATTCTAGTAATCATGAAATAAGAAATTAGTAAGTACTTCTAATAAAAACAAATATTTAAAACATCAATCATAGTTTCCTATAACTTAAACTTAAATCACTCTATTAATTATGATATTGCAAGGTCAAGAAATATGAGAAGGGGCTTCTAAACCAAGAAATTGACAACCCCATATAAAGAGGAAAAAAAAACTATCTAGTTTTCGATATATTCTCTTATTTATATATCAAGCCATATATATTAAGCATAACCATTAAGGAAAACATGAAACTCTTTTAAGACAAGTATGAGAGTAACATGGAAGACAAATAACAACCTCTTTCCCTTCCTTTTAACCCTACGACTTTGGCAAGCAAGGTCAGGTTCATTAAGTGTGTTATATGTCATCCTATAAGGCTAGCGATTGTAGCGTCACACTTGTCACGGTCCACGTAGACGCCACATCATACTTGTCACGTTCTTACCAAAAGTTGTCATTTGCTAGGCGTATGTTGTCATATTTGCCATGATATATTTTTTTTATATTAATTAATATAAAAAATAATCAAAGACCAAGTTTTGTAGATTTTATAATAATAATAATAATAATAATAATAATAATAATAATAATAATAATAATAAATTGATTTATTTAAAATAAATAAGTTTTATAAGTTCATGGGGTATTGTGCAATTTTCTAAAGTCGATTTCAAAAAGATATTTCAACTTTGGATAGGATATGTTGTTAGACGAAACTAAAAGGACTAGATATGCCAAATTTGAAAATCTATTTATCTTCTTCCTTCAAAGAATCTTACACAACAACCAGTCGACTGCCATTTTCACCATATTCAAACACAATACCCTTTCTTTCTCATCGACAAGTTTCCACGGAGTTGCCGAGCCGAGTTCGGCATACCGAAGGCTCGGTCCGGTGTTCGCTAAGCTAGTCGTAGTCTTTTCGAATCCACACCGTTCAACCTAACTAGCTAGTTAGAATCAAATGAAGTGTTTACATAAAGTAGCTAAAAGGTTTGTACACAACATTAATAATGATACCATATGATATTTCACTAATTTTTGTTATCTTTATTATTATTTTTTAAAAACAATAATTCTCAATATCTTAGTAAATGTTATTTTCCTAAAATAATGTTTTTTCCAAGTGTCAATAACATATAATAATTCTTAGATATAAGTATCTTTTATTCAATTTCATCCAATTCGTTAAAGAGAATTAAAACTAAAAGTAATTAAATTTTTATTTAGCAGCTTCTTTTTTTTTTTATAATAGGCTAATAGCACTCATCATCTTTCATTTCTTCACCTATTCGATTTGGGATGTCTAAATGGCAGTCGACATTCATTTCTTATTTTTTTTTGTCTTGAATTTATTTTGGTAAGTCGTTTTTTTTTCTTACTTTAACTTTTCCATTAACTTATGAATACTTTAAATTCATTTAGTCATTTTGTATTTTATAAAGCTTCATTTGTTGTTATATTTATCAATTATCAATCATATGAGTCAACTGAACCTTTTATAAATTAATTGGATATGTACTTTAAGTACTAGCTAACAATCGATATTATGCAAAATAGTTAGCAATATAGTTTATCAATATAGTTACGAGCTTGGATGATTTGTTTTTGGTATGTTAAACCAAAATTCTTTAGTAATAGAGTTACGAAACCGAACTGAAGAAAAAAAAAACCGAATAAATGGTTGAAAGTATCGAAAAACACACAAGATTGAATGTGTTATTTTGACTAATTAACTCGACCCCATCATATAGATGGTTGTAAGCGCCCCCAACAAATATAATTCTTGGATCCACCACTAGTTTAAACGTCAAAAATATAAAATTTTTAAAAAAAATGAAATTTTTTTTTTTTACAAATAGTTTTTGTCATTTTAACATTTTAACATCCGTTAAAAAACATTGTTCTAACTATATATTCTAATTAGAATAACATTTTTAGTTATATGTAATTTTTATATTAGAACTTTACTATGTGCACAATCTCAAAAAATTTATCGATATTTTAATTAGAATATTATACATAACAATATAATTATATTTAAATTTTTCTAGGAATATTATTATATGTATAGATTTAAAATCTTAACAATATTCTACTTCGAACATTCAACAAGAATCATGATTTTTGATAAAATTGGTATGGTGTTTTCGTTGTATAAACTTGTCAAACCTGTCACACAGTATGTTAAAATCATATTGCTACGAATTTTAGAATATTCTTATATCTTAAAAAATAATGTACGAAAAATATACTTTCAAGTTTCATCTATATATGATACAACACATTCGAGACCAAACAATAACTTATATTATGTGCATAGCCAAATTATTTATAAAATGTAGATTAAATAAGTTGATGATAATGATGTATTTAAATCTATATTAAACGTCATGATTGAAGAAAATAATTTAAGATTCTAGATGAGTAATAATGAAAAAAAAATAAGAAAATAATTTGCAATATTTCCAAGTGTAAATAGGATGTTGTGTAGTGTGTAATTGTGTAAAGAATTTCCCTCGTATGAAACGTGCCCAAGTAAATTCATTGATCACGTGAAATTTGTGAGGACGAACTTCGTGTCATGCCCATTTCACCACTTGTTGTAAATGTATCCAAAACCATTCAACGAATACCACCACGTGAAAGAAAATGCAATGCTTTTGTAGGGACGTCGAGTTTGGTTACCCACTCCTTTTTGGTGGATCATTGCCC